GTATGACTCGGTGATGAAAAAGGGAATTGTGATTGATCCTAGGATCAAATCCGTTGAGGTATTTCCAGTGGAGACAGGGAAGTGTTAATGCCATTGGAAAGTTGTATATGTCTACAATTCTGGAAACCTTATTTCAAGAAAGATTAATTTAAACTGGAACAAGTGTAGAGAATTTTGATCACGGGACTGGAGAGGTCTGTCTTACAGGAGGACATTAGAAATTTGACTTGTTTAGCTGAGAAAGGATGTATCTGGCCTCAGAGGGGTAAACACCAAAGAGAGAAGTGCTATTTATATTAAAGGATAATGTTGGCTCACAGCCAAATGGATAAAATCTGGCCATGAATAATTTTAAATAAGAAATTAGAAGGTTTGCAACCTTCAGAGCAGCAAGGTTGTGGAACAACCTTTCAGGAAGGATACGGGGGGGCAAACACAGTATTCAGATAGAGCCTAGCCAGCTTACGAGAGGGATGATGTGGTATAGTTGCCTCCGATAGCAAAGGAATGCACTTGGTGGGTGCGTCCAGACGAGCGTGCACATGCGTTTCCCCAGGGACAAATAGCAGCAGCACATAGTTGTAGGTAGAGTAGGGGACTGTGGGCTGGCACCAACAGTCTTACCTGGGGTCTCCCAGGGCTCTGGCAGCAGGGAGCCTAGCCAGCAGCCGGAGTGTGGCTCCGGCCAGCCAGGCTCCGGTTTCGGATGGTGCATGCTGCTGCTATGCACACCACCCTTCTTTTTTCTAGCCTGGATTTTTTGGATCATCAGGATCCCCTGATGTCAAACTCCTACCCCTTCTCTCCCCACCCCCGCGCTGCAAATTAGCAGCATGGGGAACGCCTGCCTGTGCGGTGTGTGGCACCATAGATGGGTCTGCGGCAACAGCTACCACATGTGCACACTTGTCTGGAAAACCCCAGTGAGTCGGGAGGTACTTTCCAGTCTTATATTTTTATGACTATACCTCTGCTGATATCCTTCTGAAAACCTGACTTGGGTAGTTTTCAACTCATCATAAGCCCAGTGGGTTACAGTAAAAAGAATAAGGCCTTCTTGTTCTGGAAGATGTGTTGTCTCCAGAGTTATTCAGGAACTGGAAACCAATACCACATTTGATTTCCTGTTTACAGGGACAGAAGACGTAGAACTGGAAAGGACCTTTGAGGTCACTAAGTCCAGACCTCAGGTCTCACAGGCAACCACATCAAATATAATTCTGTTAATGAACTTGTCAAACTCCATTGCAATGAAGATCTTGGGGGTTTGATAGTGAGCCAGAAAATCAAGGATTCACATATGCCTCTAACCATGTGAATGAAAGAAAAGCCCTCATTAAGTTTATAGTCGCTCTGTCCCTGTGGCCAGTTATTTTTGAGCATGTCTGATATTCCAGAGAGAAAATTCTTTAATATAACAGTATTGATGAAAAATAAAGCTATTCCATCTCTGTCTGCTGGTTTACAAGCTCCTCTCTTCTTTCCTGTCAGAATTGTGTGGGGTTTTTTTTCCTTGCAGGCATCTCAGCTCAGGAAACCAATCTTTCCTTTTTCCTCTCTAAAGCACTAGACAGTCTGCCAAGTGTTGAGTGTTCAATTCCCTGCAGCAGCTCTCCAGACGTGTGTCTCAAGTGCTCCTATGTCTCCTATAGGGAATCATTTCTTCTGCTTCGTAAACCTGCTCGAAAATGAAAGCCGGCAGTTTTGCCTCACTATTTGAATACACCCAAGAGGCACAAAAGAACTGTTCTAGAGAGTGCTGCTGTGAAGCATGGCGCACTTTTTCCATCTGCCTTACACAGTGAAAGGACCTAATGTAATCACCCTTAATGTTGTGCTGGGCATGTGCCAGTGAGCATACGTGGGACAGACCTTTACATATGCACAAAGTGCTGCACTAAGGAGGGCTAAGTTGCATCCTTTTGTGGTGAAGTGGGTGTGCACTACTGCACCTTAGCAGCCCCCTCTCTCCCCCTGACAATATAGGTATGTCCTACATACTTCTTGTTACAGGGATATGAAAATAACATATAAAATGTCCATTGAATCATAAGGTTGGAAGGGACCTCAAGATTCCAACCTCCTGTACAAAGGCAGGACGTCTTATTCCTAAATCAGCCCAGACAGATGCCTATCCAGCCTCTGTTATAAGGAAGTTGTTCATCATATGTTACTCAGAAATTATTTGCTTAAGAAGGGTATTCAGCATAATGGTTTTTAAGCCTGCATCCATTTGCCCTACCAGGATGCTTTATACTAGTGCTGTCATGCTTGCTTACACTGACCTATCTGTACTGGGAGCATAGATCTATTTTACCATTTTCCCACACACACTGGCATCAAGCCTCAGTAGGATTCCTTGGTGAGCACAGTATCACCAGTATGGAAAATGGAGGAGTGCCATCTGTCCAGAGCAGGATGGAGCTACCTGTGTTAAGTATGCAAGTGATATAAAGTGGCAAGTTTAAAGCAATAATTGTAATGAATACCCTTATTGCCTGGGGTAAGCCAGCTATCAGGGGCATTCAGCATATCATTCTACAGTTAATGGAACTGCTGTGCTCATCTCTGCAGATTGCCTTTATAAACCTCTTCATCCATATGCCAAATGGAAGCCCACAGATCAGGATTAAAGTCTCCTTCAGTAAGGGATATTCAGCCCTGTTCATCTGTAAATAATAAGACTAAAGCAACCTATTTCCCCCTCTTCTCAAAGGGCTCTAAGTATAGGAGCTGTATTGTCTCAAATGATTTCCTGAGGCGCTGACGCAATATGAGGACCAAATTGTAACAGTCCAGCCCTTGTGAATAGTGCTTCAGCTCAGCAGCAATAATAAAAATGGACAATTTGAGCAAAACTCTGAGAGGTAAAAACTCCTGGAAAGAAAATTATTTAATCATATGGCAGGGCTGTTTTTTTTTCCTATTTACCTTTTACTTCATTTTTCCATGGAGTGCTTTTGCAAGGTATGAGAAACTTTTTAAGAGTTAGCTGTCATAAAAACACCCATTCTGATTTTTTTTTAAGGCCCCTCTACACGTTACAGGTATCGCACAATTACCTTAAGACCAGCTACATGTGCAAAGTAGCTATCACTCTATAAAAAGCTCCAAACAGCTATAAAGTTAGACCTTGAAAACGTGTACTAACTTTATAGCTGGTTGCTACTGAGGTTTAACCTGCAAGTGTAGCAGGGTCTCCCCTGTGGCTGGGAGCACCACCAGCTGATGGGGCTCCAAGTTGCATGGGTGTGCCATGACCAGCCATGGGGGTAAGTGAAACTCTCAGGTCTGGGAGATCATGGCAGCTGTGATCCCCCAGGCCCAGGGGTTTTATGCACCCCCAAGCCTGGGAGAACATGGCTTGCACAGTACCCCAGCTCTGGGGGTCTGTGGGGTACCCTGCAGCTGGAAGCCCCCTCAATTGAGGAGCTCCCAGCCATGGGAACTTGCTTGCTTCTTGCTGGTGCAGGGGTTCCCCTTGCACTAGCAATAAGGCGCGATGGATCGAATGTGTCATCTCAGTCACGCCTCCTGCCATGCACACATGGCGATTGTGTGGATCACGCATTAGATCCCATTGCATCATTACCTGCATGTGCAGAGGGGGCACTGTAAACACCTACTTCTCCAGCTAAGCTGTATAGCAGACAACTGAAAAATTATAAAAGAAAAGCTCATGCATTTGAAACGTATTTGTTACAATGGGCTGGAGATGAGGTAGTATGATCTGTAGCCATGAAAAAAACCCCATACTTTCATGACCCCTTTTATTGACTGGAAGATTGCTTGGCAAAGGTGTTGTTATTTTAAATTTTAGCTGGAATGGAAAATGATATTATTGATCAGTGAGACTATTCCAGTCATACATAGAAAGCTTTATCGGGATACACTTAAGCACTAACTTATTTACAATAATAATTATAAAGCTCACATAGCCTTGGAGTTGAGGGAAGTGGGGTCAGCTGGCCAGGTGTTGCTGCTTTCTCGGGAATTCACAAAGGTCAAAGTTGCTCAGCAGAGTCTTGAGCGAGGTGATCTCTTGCAGCTATACAACTTTTTTTATACTTCTGGCTACATGCTGCTAGTCATATATGCCATTCTATATTTAGTGACAAGTGTTGCAAAACACCAACCCTGACTGGGAACCCAAAACTTGCTCAACTCAGTGACATGCGCTTGCACCAATACCCTGGCCAAGCAGGGCTTGCCAGGCCTACAATATAATGTGGATGTTCAGAATCCTGGTCCTGCATTGGACCACTTGTACTCCAGTTAATGAACTAGTAATGCCTTGGATCAAATTTAAGAAATATCTTGGATCAAATTTAGCCCAAACATAAGCAGTAGTAATGGGGACCAGTGATGGTATTACCCAAGCAAGAAGAAATATGTTACTGCGCTGCTTAAGAGTCTCGCTCCTGATTCCCCCTTGCTTCCCATCCCTAGCGTGGCATACTAACCCTGGCACAGTGGCACAGCTTTGCTAGACAGCACATTGCTTGGCAGTGGAGCCAAGGGCCATACCCACACCAGTCCTACCCGTTCCTCTGCTGGTGGTGGAAAATGACGTAATGTCCTCACAGAAGCTGCCTCCTTTTATCATCCTGCTACTTGTGATCTGAGTTGGTAGCATAAGCGTAAGAGGGCATAAGATACTTGCCTATTGCCTTACACAACTGCACAAATTGGCCCACAATCTGGCATACTGAAGACAACAGAAATTGTGCCTACTTATGCCAGGGTCATATTTGACCACTTTTAGTGTTATTTTTTCTTTTGTTTTAAGGATAAGGTCAATTTGTTTCTCAAAATGGTAGGTATTATGGTGGGACATACTGAGGGGTCATCTTTTACAAATTTTGTAGCAGTCGGTGCTCCTGTTGACACTTGTACTGAATGTCTCTTTATTAAGGTGGAAGAAGGGATTTAATTACCTCCTTGAGTAGATCACAAGTAGAGTAATGAAAACTAACTACCTGGAGGAAATTTTCTTGCAGTCACTGAAGATCTTGTTCGACGGCGTGCAGAACATAACAACTGTGAAATTTTTTCCCTGGAAGAAATCACCTTGCATCAACAGGAAATAGAGAAAATAGAATACCTTGATAAATGGTGCAGAGACTTAAAAATTCTCTATCTTCAAAATAATTTAATTCCAAAAATTGGTAAGTGTTTTTATTTTCATTCTGTTTTATATTTAAACTGAGTTACAGGTGTGATTGTGAGGTCAGAAAATGGCTATTAGGTTTTGAGTTTAAGGTAAAAAGAACAACAGGAAAGAGGAAGAGTGGTTAAATGACTGTGGGCTTGATCATGACCTCTGAGCATCTTCTCCCCATGTTGAATTCAGCAGTAGATATGGGCTCAGAATGTTACAGGTTTCAGCCCTACTATTAAAAAGCTTTTTATGTAGTAAAATGCTGTAGATCAAAGTTATCTTGCATTTTTACCTTTCTTGCAAAGAGAAAGCGAGTTTGTTACCCACTCTGAATTGTGGTATTAGAGAACTGGCCTCTCTACACTGATGCCTAGAAGTCCTCTACTTAAAGCATAGACCTAAAAATAACTATTTTGAGTCCTTAACTCCCCTAGGTGCTTCTTCTCTAGCAAGGGACCTTGGAATATGCTGGCACTTATAGATGCCCAGAGAGTTTACTTTTAGTATATATAAATAAAAAAAATGTTATTTCAATTAGTTCTCAAAAGAAATCCTTACTTTATATTGGGGAGAAACTGTCATGTTCTTCTATATAAATACAGCCCTTTGATGATAGGTGGCAAAATTTTGCCTATCCTACAAGACATAAAACTTCACAAGGCCTGGGTATACAGAGAACCTGGATATACAGAGAAGTTGTGTGATGATATAGCATCAGATGTTTGCCCAGGCACATCATAGATAAATATAAGGTGAGGTTCTTGTCTGGAAAAGCTTAGACTGTACAGTGTTGGAGGATGAGGGAATGAGAAGCACCAAAAACAAGTGACTGAGCGGTGATACTGATGTCATGTAAATTACCTTTGTCCCTCATTTTAAAAAGGAAAGTTTTCAGGTGAATAAATGATTTGCTGATCTCACAGGCAGGGGAAGAGGGGGCTGTGAGGGAGGTGTAAGGTGCTTTTAACACTTGTATTCTCCACTGTCCAGAGCTGCTCTAGTGGTAGGAGAGGTTTCCAGTGTAAGCCTGGGTACTTTGCCAGGTTGCCCCAAAGGTGACTGTGCTCTGTGTGGTGGCGCTACACCAGACCTACCACCTCCACCCTCAGCTTCACCCTGGGTGCCTCTGATGCCAGGGAGTCTTAGGAAGGCAGACTTAGAGGTGTCTTCTGTAGGGCTCGCACTGGGGAAAGTAGGGGAGTGGGTGCTCTTTTATACTGCTTCGGGTCATTGGTGTCTACAGTTTTGGCCTTGAGCCCATGGACAAATTAATGGCATGGGACCCATCTGTGGGGCCAGACTGGCTCCAGCTTGCCTGAGATCAGGCCCTGGGTACCCCACCCACCTGGGAGCCCCACACTGGTCCTGCACGGCCCCCATGTGCTGGGATCAGGCCCTGTGCCACCCTGCATGCCTAATCTAGTGCACAGAGTCATGGCCTGCAGGGCTCCCCACAGATCCATAGGGAGCCCGACAAGCCAGATGACATGGTGCTGAGGGCTGGATCTGGCCACTGGCCAGGGCTTGAACACCTCTGCTTCAGCCCATCCAGGAGGGCCATAGCAGGGGTGGTTGTGGTGATACTTTCACCTTCTCCGTTGCTGTCCCTCACATCTGTAAGGATTTATCTCGTTCTTCTGATAGCCCTCATGTTCCTGGAAGGTTACTGTGGAGTAATCCTTCAATTAATCCTTCTGTTCACAACAGCTCACTGCAGTGATCTCATTTTTAATAAGATGCAGATTTATTCCTTAATTAATCTAAACAACTCAGAGCTGGAAATGCATGAGACTTCCAGGAATAGCTGCAACCAGAGTGCAGCTGACTGCCAGGCAGAGCACCTGCATATCACTTGAGAGATGCAACACCACATGACTACTGATCAAAATAAGTAGTCTACCCAACACCTAAAATATATGATAATCTGGTCAGTTCTCAGTAAATCTATGTTCCTAGCCTGAGAGTTTGCCAAATACCATGCTATTTACAATCTCCCTTTTCTATGCAAAATTGTCAGAAGTATTTATGAAAATTCAACAGGCTTGAATAATGTAGCTGGTAAACCCCTGAGTGCTGTAGCTATTAGTTCTGGTTCTCTTCTTTTCAACACATGTATGGAAACAGCCATAAGATGCCATTGGCTCAAATGCTGACAGTCTGTGGATAGCTCCCAACTTTGTACATCCACAGAAGATGCAGAGACTCCTGTCAGTTATCAGACTACCTGCAAGAGAGAAGCTGTAGCTCAGATTGGCAGGCTGAAGAAAGCCATTCAGAAAGCTAGCTGAGAAACTGTTTTCACCCTGGAGGGATAGCATCTGGGATGACAACAAAATGGCATCTTTCTAGGGTCCTATGAGACTGTTACTGCCTCATCAAGGGAGATATGCATGGCAGCTAAGTGGCTTAGCCTGCATAATTTCAGACATTATCAGACTGATTTTTGTGACTTCACCACTGAAGATTTGTCTTAGTGTCTCTTAAAATATATATATGTGTGTACGTACATATGTGTGTGTACACACACACACACACACACACGGGCTATGTGATTCGATTTGGTCGCTGATTCAATTCGGAGGAGATTCGGTGGCCAAATCTCCAAATCCAAATTGAATCAGGAAACCCCATCACGAGATTCAATTCGGAGAGATTTGACGAGTCAGACATAGACACAGCTTTATATGTTTTTTCCATGTACCTCGAGGTACCAGGCCCAGCTCATGAACACTGAGATGGCAGAGCAAATGGAGCGTCCCACGGGAGCGCGGGGGGGACCCCTTAACTCCCCTTCCCTGGCTCAGCGACTGGTGCCTCCTGGGTCTGGGGGGACACTCGGGGTCCCTCTGTGGCTGATTGCCAAGCCAGGGGAGCATGGGGGGGTCTCCCCCCGTGCTCGGAAGCGGACCCCCTCACACTCCTCGGGGACTCTCCATCTGCCCCACCATCTCAGCATTCACGAACCGTGCTCAGTACCTTGAGGCATGTAGAAAAAACATATAAAGCTGTGTCTATGGCTGAATCGCTGATTCCCCGAATCAGAATCGAATCTTCAGGTTCAGATTCAGCTGAATCGAATTGGGACAGTGATCTGAATCAACTAATCAAATCACTGTCCCCCGAGTCGGGCCAAATCCAAATCAAATACTGTCTGCTTCGCACACTCCTAACACACACCCACACACACATACATAAAATAACACAGTTTTTTTTCTTCACTTACCCATTTCTCCCATATTGCAAAAATCTATCAAGGCTAATTCTTGAACATAATATCTATTATATCCATTTTGTGTCTCAAAAGAAGCAACTGAACATCTTCTCTTGTGCCCTTTGTGTTATACTGATTTAACAGCCTTCCTGTCCAGCAAACTTCTTCCCAGAATTAATATACAAAAACACTCTCTGATTCTGTTCTCTTCTATGACCTCCTTTCAGAGAGTCTGTCTCTCTTACAAATACTGTGCTTAGTGAAATGCAGTAGTCTCTGGTTTGAAAAGGATAGGTTAGGTAATACAAATAACTTACAAGGATTACACAGTGCCTCGCTGCAAATAAAGGCTCTAGGGGGCTGCTACCAGTTGTCACACATCTAAATGGGACACAATTTGGAATCAAATACAGAATATTCTTAGATATAGCACTAAAATTTTGTGCCGTATACGAAAAGCACCCTGCCCAGCACGATGTGCATCCAAGCTG